GTGTGCTCTTGGCACGAACGTCCTTGAGGACAGGCAGGAGGAGTTCAGGTGTCTGGCTGCTGCTTCACCTCATCTCGCGTCCGTACTACTTGCCCCTGAGGGAGACCCGGATGCACTAGACATCCCGACTCCGCGCTCTTACGCGGAGGCCGTAGAGGGTCCCTACTCCTCTCAGTGGCAGGCAGCTATGGATGCAGAGATGGCGTCCTGGAAGTCCACAGGCACCTACGTTGACGCGGTTCCCCCTCCTGGGGCGAACATCGTCAGTGGCATGTGGATCTTCAGGGTGAAGCGGCCGCCGGGCTCTCCACCTGTCTTCAAGGCGCGGTACGTCGCTCGTGGCTTCAGTCAGCGGCAGGGAGTTGACTACTTTCAGACCTTCTCTCCCACCCCGAAGATGACCACTCTTCGGGTGCTGCTGCACATAGCCGCTCAGCGCGACTACGAGCTCCACTCTCTTGACTTCAGTACTGCTTTCTTGCAGGGTAGCCTGCACGAGGAGATCTGGCTGCGCCGTCCACCTGGCTTCACTGGGACTTTTCCTCCTGGCACCCAGTGGAGCCTCCGACGGCCAGTCTACGGTCTCCGCCAGGCACCGCGTGAGTGGCACGACACACTGAGGACTACGCTTGCGGCTCTTGGGTTTGCTCCCTCTACTGCTGACCCGTCGTTGTTTCTGCGCACCAACACTTCTTTGCCGCCGTTCTACGTCCTCGTGTACGTCGACGACTTGGTCTTTGCCACAGCTGACACTGCTGGACTAGCCTACGTGAAGTCCGAGCTGCAGAAGAGACACACGTGCACAGACCTCGGTGAACTGCGCAGCTACCTTGGCTTGCAGATCACTCGGGACAGAGCACGCCGCACCATTACCTTGACTCAGTCACACATGGTGCAGCAGGTCCTTCAACGCTTCGGCTTCACGTACTCCTCGCCTCAGGCCACTCCTCTGTCTACTCGCCACTCGCTCTCAGCTCTGCCTTCGGATGAGTCCGTAGAGTCGAGTGGCCCGTACCCAGAGCTTGTTGGCTGCCTCATGTACCTGATGACCTGCACACGACCTGACCTTGCATACCCTCTTAGCATTCTTTCACGCTATGTTGCTCCTGGGAGACACCGACCAGAGCACATGGCTGCAGCGAAGAGGGTGTTGCGCTACTTGTGCAGTACGTCGGGCATGGGACTAGTGCTTGGAGGGCGGAGTCCAGTGGTCCTCACTGGGCACGCGGACGCTTCTTGGGCAGACGACCAGGCTACACAGCGGTCGTCGCAGGGTTACACCTTCAGTCTTGGTTCCGGCTCTGTCTCGTGGCGGGCTACTCGCTCGTCCTCTGTTCTCAGCTCCAGTTGTGAGGCTGAGATCTACGCCGGGGCCATGGCTGCACAGGAGCTTCGTTGGCTCACCTACCTGCTGACTGACCTTGGAGAGCCGCCTCGTTCTCCTCCAGTGTTGTACGTAGACAACAAGGCCATGCTGGCCTTGTGTCGAGAGCAGCGCTTGGAGCACAGAACGAAGCACATTGCTCTCCGTTACTTTCTTGCTCGTGAGCTGCAGCAGCGTGGTCAGTTGCGACTTGCGTACGTGGCCTCTGAGGCCAACACTGCTGATGTGTTCACCAAGGCACTTGCGCCTTGTGACCATCAGCGCTTCTGCACCCAGCTGGGTCTTGTACCTGTCTTGCCTCACTTGCTCTCTTCTTGACCTTGCTTGTACTGTCACATATATATTCCTGCTCTTGCTTGTCTAGCTCTATATATATATGTGTACTCCTGCATGTGAACTGGCCCTGTTGCCCTGTCGTTGTGCTCGGACTGTGTGGTGACTTTGTGATCCACCCTGAGCTTGCTCTGCTTTGCTTGACTGGTCTTGTGACCCCTTGTTCTCCCCCACTTTGCCTATGGGGGTGTGTCAGAACATATATATAGCTTATGCTGTTGTGTAGGCTATAGTGGGGTATCCCATAGGGGGTACAACCCAATTAGGGTTTCCCATATGTACTCACTTCATTCATAGTTCATTCATTCTCGTTCTACTATTCTCACGCTGGGGACTTACCATGCGGGTGAAGACGAAGATCGGGCAGCGGCTGATTAAAGGTGCGTAAAATTAATAAGCGGAGTTTTTTGTTGCTCTACAATTACTAACTCAATCGTGCGTGACTGTTTCTTGCAGATTTCAACACGAAGTGTGAAAGCTTCTGGAAGTTTTGCAGGAGGCAAGTGGTCTGCGACGACATCGACCCCTGGAACGTTGTCAACGCCGACCAGACGCCGGTGTTCCTCGAGATGCCGCATGAGAGGACGTTGACGCATCGTGGCGAGCGCGCGGCTCACATTCGGAGTTTGGACGAAATTTGATTTTGATTGTCTTCGCGTAAAAGAATCCGGAGCCAATTTGGACCGACGGTTGGAGTCATTTGATAGGAGTTCCGAGACACATCTCGGGACAAGGTTTGGCTCGGGTCAAGTTCCAATTTGGCACGCGAGCTTTTCCGGATGACGTTCGGGCGCAATCCATTTTGGTGCAAATACGTGACCAAATTATTCAAAACTACATTCTTCTTTTGTTCATGTTGGATATTGAGGATTTCAAATTACATTTATTATTCTAGCTTACAACAACAATTATTCAGCATTCTAGCAACAAGGAGTCTTAGCACCAGGTCAAATAGCCTACGCACTGCCGGGCCTTGCAAGCGTCCGGTGGGCAAGGACCACCTATTCAAGGTCGCCATCGTCGATGAGGAACTTGTTCGGGATGACGAACGCACCCTGTGCCGGATCGTGGGGGATCCTCCGCTCCACGACAGCAAAGTGGATCATCTGTTTGACCTTTTTGCACCACTCCAAGTAGTCTGGCCTGTTTTGTTCCGGCTGGCTACTAATTCGTTTGCGACGCTGATCCTGCAGAAGGGGCCATTTGATGTGCAATGTGGTGTAGGGTTGGGTGGATGGTTTATGAGGAGGGGGGATTACTGGTAAAGGAGCCAACTGAAAGCGGTGATTCAGTCGTCACTATCTACGTAACTGCAAAGGCTTAATCGACCAGGGATTTGGCTGAATTACAGGCAAGGGGTTAAGGGGATGAGCCATGGGGGTACAAACACATATCTACATCTTTACCGAAAACAAGCCCCATTCCACCATGCGGCTCTTGAAGTTGGTGAACACGACCCCGCCCCTCTTGAAGGAGAGCTTGAACGCATAAGCGGACATAGGGTTGCTGAAGGGCGTCCCGGTAACCTTGTCAAAGTGCTAGTTGAGGGCCCACTATTCTGCATTTTGGCAGGGAGGGTATGGGTTGGAAAGGGGGTGTAGAGATATCAAGTGGGGGGATGAGAGTCAGGGTGAGCCACATCGCACGGTGATATGTAGCTGCCAAGTGGCATATGGTGGGGCATATGGTGTTTTCTAGTTGCCCATACCATCTCCGTACTCGGCTAGGAGTTGCTTGTTGTTGAACCACCTCATTGGGTGTAGCTCACTGGGCAGGCTATCCACGAGATGGTTGTAATCGGCAAAGCCTATGCCGGTGTAGGCTGCTGGCCTGAGGGTGGAGTTGATAGTTGACCTTGTTGATGACATCTGGTGGTTGAAGACTCGCATGGTTGACTTGTCATTGTGTAACCACAGCAACTTCATTGACTCGAGCCCTTCTGCAGACAAGTGGACAGAGAACGCATCGAACACTTCCTTCGGTGCAGAGTAGTACTGTATTTTTTCCGGCGGGTTCAGAAACATGAGCTGAGAGCACACTAAGTAGGCTTTGTTCTGCACAGAGGTGAAGGGTATACAACACGACATGGGAGAGAGAAACCAGCAGTTATGATTGTGGCCGCGTGACCATAGGATGGAGTAGCAACACTGTGTGAACTTGCCACGTCACACCCTCCTGCATCCGCCACGTCCAACAACAACCCGCCCCACTTGCCACGTCACACCCCCCCACCCCAAGCCACGTCACCCCCCACTCCCTTGACACGCGTTGCCTCGTCGTGCGCCGCTCTCTTGTACCCATCCAAACCGCCACGTCATCCCCAACCCTCACCTTCCGCCATGTCACACCCTCCTGCATCCGCCACGTCCGCCAACAAAACGCCCCACTTGCCACGTCACACCTCCCCACCTCAAGCCACGTCACCCCCCACCCACCTGACACGCCTCGCTTCGTCATGCGCCGCTCCCGTGTACCCTTTCAAACCGCCACGACATCCCCAACCCTCACCTTCCGCGACGTCGCACCCTCCTGCATCTGCCACGTCCACCAACAACCCGCCCCACTTGCCACGTCACACCCCCCTACTACAAGCCACGTCACCCCCCACCCACCTGACACGCGTCGCCTCGTCATGCGCCACTCCCGAGTACCCTTTCAAACCGCCACGTCATCCCCAACTCTCACCTCCCACCACGTCACACCCTCCTGCATCCGCCACGTCCACCAACAACCCGCCCCACTTGCCAAGTCACACCCCCCCACCCCAAACGACGTCACCCCCCCACCCACCTGACACGTGTCGCCTTGTCATGCGCCGCTCCCGTGTACCCTTTCAAACCGCCATGTCATCCCCAACCCTCACCTTCCGCCACGTCACACCCTCCTGCATCCGCCAAGTCCACCAACAACCCGCCCCACTTGCCACGTCACCCTCCCCCACCCCAAGCCACGTCACCCCCCACCCACGTGACATGCGTCGCCTCGTCATGCGCCGCTCTCTTGTACCCATCCAAACCGCCACGACATCCCCAACCCCGCCCTGGTTGCCACGTCAACCCCAACCTGCCCCATTTGGCCCACCACATACCGGAAATGGGTTTGTCTCCTGCAACACTAGCACTCGTGCCTTGTCCACGGCACTCATCGGCGGCGGGGTACCAGCCATAGGCACCACTGCGGGCCCCTCGGCATAAATGGCAGGTGCTCCACGACACAGGCCGAGCTGAGCAAACATGGCGTACATCTCACCCCGTAGCGCCTGGAACTCCTCCTGTCTAACAAACTACTCGTGGTCCGCACTTTCACCTAGGGCACCCATGAGATTGGGAAAAGGGTGTGAAGAATCCCTCCTCTGGCCAAGGGGATCAACGTCTTCTGCAGCAGTCCCGTGTGCCCTCACACTATTACGCTGGTGGGAAAAGGGCAGCTCAGGGAAGGGATTGGCAGAAGTGCTTGGCTGATGCCCGCGCGAAGGACCGGCGAGGGGGGAGACCGCCCTGCCCCGGACAGGAGAAGCGTAGAGCTGCCGATATCGGAATGAGGGTGAGGCGAGTGGGGAGTGCGTGACGTGGCCTGGTGGAGGGGATTCGGATTCCTCTTCTCTTGGTGCGCCGGGTGCTGTAGCAGCGGCTTTAGACGGGCCAGAGCATGGCGTGTAGAACCTTGGGGCTCCTGTGGATAGCAGTGTAACACTCGCTCTTCCAGCCCCCTTCATTAACTGCATCCGTTGCACGCTTACCGGTGGGCCAATGCCTGTAACACGAGGGGCTGATTTTTCTAGGGAGCAGGAGCACAAAGTTGGAGTCGATTACGTTCAATAAAGCGGCACACATGCATGCGTACGAGCAGCGGATTGAGTCTACATCGGGTTTAGCAGGGTACTGTTTTGTAACAAGAGGCCTTACCTTGCTTTGCAGATTCGTTGACCTTCTCCTTCCCTGCAAGGGAGAAACAATGTGAAGAGTGGTGTTAATTGGCACGGTTGAGCAGAGAGTTATACAGCCACGCCATGTGTATGGGCCACAGTGCTTACCTCGCTGCTATCCCTTCGGTTTTTTTGCTGCCTGCGCCTTCTCGTTGCCACCTTTCCGCGGGGTGCTTTGGCGACCGCTTCGATGTTTACCGGCAGGTTCTTTCTTGCTGGAACCCACTGGAACCCCTTTGGCGCGGCCACCCTTTCCTTCTCCATCCCCTTTTGCGCCTTGGATCCCTTGTTTTTTACCACCCCCTTCAGTTTCGACCTTCACTTTACGCGCCTTCGATTTGCCCGCTGCTTCGCCACGCAGGGCGTCAACTGCCCGCGTTTTCGGGAATGGCGAGTCCGCCCCCCCAGCTTTCCTGTGCCACTCCCCCGTCTGCCTCACCCGCCTCGTCCCTTCACTGCCACTACATCCTCCTCCTCTTCCTCTTCCGCCCCTTCCTCCTCCTCCTCTTCCTCCTCCTCCTCCTCTTCCTCCTCCTCCTTCTCCGCCTCCACCTCCTCCTCCTCCTCCTCCTCCTCCTCCTCCTCCTCCCCCTCCTCATCCTCGTCGTCCCCCTCCTCCTCCTTCTCCTCCTCCTCCTCCTCCTCCTCCTCCTCCTCCTCCTCCTCCTCCTCCTCCTCCTCCTCCTCCTCATCCTCCTCCTCCTTGTCGCCCCTCTCCTCGTCCTCGTCATCGTCGTCGTCGTCGTCGTCGTCGTCCTCCTCCTCCTCCTCCTCCTCCTCCTCCTCCTCCTCCTCCTCCTCCTCCTCCTCCTCCTCCTCCTCCTCCTCCTCCTCCTCCTCCTCTTCGTCCTCCTCGTCATCATTCTCATATTTTTCCTCCTCCCCAACATCCACGTCCTCCTCCCCCTCATCCTCTTCTTCCTCCTCTTCCTCCTCATCCTCCTCCTCATCAGCCTCCTCCTCCTCACCCCCCTTATCCCCCTCATCCTCCTCCTCCGCATCATCACGGTCTTCTTCGCCCCGTTTCAGCCTCTTCCCCCTCGCTCCTTGCTTGCCCCTCCTTACGCCGGATGTTTTCCTCGCTCTGGGCCGGCCCTTCTGGCGCAATGCATGACCCGTCGCCTTGCCACTTGCTTCCCTGGCGCCTCGCGTTGACCCAACTTCCGCACCACCGGCGTCGTCAGCACTGTCTGTCGTCTGCCGCCTCTTCGCCCGCGTAGTGATGTCCCCAGCCACGGCAGTGTCATACTCTTCCTCCCCATCGCTCTTCCTCGGCCTACGCCTCCCACGTCCTCCAGAAGGAGGAGAGCCACCGACGTCGGCGATGCCGTGTTTAGGATCTTCCATAGAATCGTGCTCCCCCGCCTTTTCCTTATCTACCACGGTAGCAGTAACTTCGACCACGGTTGGCTGGAGCAGCGTCAGATGGTTTTCCCCTGCCTCCGCCTCGGACTCCTGGGTTGCGGCATGCTTGGCGCAGGGAGCGTCGCCGTGGTTTTCCCCTGTCGCCAAGCCCTATCTCTCCGCCGACGGGACTGCAAGACTCACGCTCCCTCGCCCCGGATCTTCTTTGCCGCCGATGGTGCTTTCGTTAGTCGGACCGGGATCTGTTCCACCAGAGACAACATCCGCATGTTTTTTCACGGTAGAAACATGCTTGCGTGGCATTGGTTGCTTCCCCTTGTCTTCTGCCTTCTTCCCGGACTTCTCCTGTTCATGCGCGGCCTTTTTTCCCGCCACTTTTTTCTGTTGACTGCCACGCGCGGCGGACGCATTAGTAACCTTAGATCCGCCACCACCCCCCTGATCGGTCTGAAGAGACTGCCTCCTTGTCGCGCGTCGTCCGGCCTGTTCCTCCTCTTTTTCTTTTTGCCGAGTTGCACGTGTTATGGTTGTAGTACGAATGTTAATTTCTAAGTATGGAACGGTTGATCCGGTTTCCTGAGGGGAACCGCGAATAAATGTAACGAAGGGAGACTCGACGGCCTATTCAATAATCTGTCTCCAACAACCTCCGCTTCAATAAAAACCGAAATAGTAGTCACTAAGCACAGAGCTACGGCCCATTATTTAGTCGTCTGGTGAGTCACGGGCGATCAGGAAACGCCTATGTCAAACAGCGAGCAGCGTCAAAGTTGTGGGCTAGAGGGTGACGGAAGCAGGTGGGTGGGGCACAAGGGTGGTTGGGGTGGCTTGCGAGACTAGAGACATGACTGTAATCAGATCAGGCTAGATCGGACGGTGTACGTTTAGCCACCTCAACATAAACCCACTCACCGCTCGATCACAGCTGCTTCGATGGCGGATGTACCGCTTGGCTGGTTCTTGTGTTGCAGGAGGGGTCGTTTGAGATGCGTCGGCCAATCAGTGTTTCCAACGCATCAATCAGTGCACATGCTAGAACGGTTTCTGAACCACTAGAGCGAATGTAACCTAAACCCTGCAAAGTACAATGCTGACGCGAACGAACAAATACAATCATAAAAAAAAAATCGTTGCTAATGTAATAGTATGGGGTTGTGGTAAGATAGTGGGTTTGTCTCATGTCACACACACAAAGAGCGTCCAGAACTATTTTTTTTGACAACTGTACTAAGCACACGTAGGCTATGCACAATGGATACACGTCGTTGGACAATATTCTAACACGAAGATCACTAGTGCCAAACTCTTGCATGGACCTTCAACAAGTTGCATAAAGGGGGTGCTACGAAGCACAGGGCTGAAGCACAAGCGGTGATGCATTATCGAGAACCATGTTTCGACTGGGCGACGTCGCAGCGTCCAGGCCCATGTGTTGCGCGACATGGTGAAATCGCTGTGGTATGGTATTGGATTGGCTTCAATTCTTGCGTGGACCTTCAACAAGGTGCATTAAGGGGGTGCTATGAAGCACAGGGCTGAAGCACAAGCGGTGATGCGTTATCGACAACCATGTTTCGTCAGGGCGACGTCGCAGCGTTCAGGCCCATGTGTTGCGCGACGTGGTGAAACCGCTGTGGTATGCTATTGGATTGGCCTCAATTCTTGCGTGGACCTTCAACAAGGTGCACTAAGGAAGTGGTATGAAGCACAGGGATAAAGCACAAGCGGTGATACGTTATCGACAACCATGTTTCGACAGGGCGACGTCGCAGCGTGTGTTGTGCGACTTGATGAAACCGCTGTGGTATGCTATTGGATTGGCCTCAATTCTTGCGTGGACCTTCAACAAGGTGCATAAAGGGAGTGGTATGAAGCATAGGGAGAAGGCGCAAGCGGTGATACGTTATCGACAGCCATGTTTCGACAGGACGACATTGCAGCGTTCAGGCCCATGTGTTGCGTGACATGGTGAAACCGTTGTGTTATGCCATTGGATTGGCCTCAATTCTTGCACGGACTTTCGACATGGTCCATGAAGGGTGGGGTGTGAACCCAACGGCTAACGCACAAGCGTTGATGTGTTGTTGACATCCATGTTTCGACAGGGCGTTGATGCAGCAATCAAGGGTTTGGTTTGCATCCAACGCTGAAACCGTTGTGTTATTGTATTGGATTGGGCTCAATTCTTGCATGGACATTCCGCACGGTGCATAAAGGTCCACTAAACTGCTTGAGAAGTGACGATATACATATTCGGTTCATGCAACAATCGTACGTTAGGGCACGGAGTTCTTGGGTACTCCCCGTATGTTTTCAGACTACACTAGAGAACGGGGAGGGTTTACAAACACTGACGTTGTCAATTAGGGGTTGGTTATGAGCAGGCCCTAAAGTATGGTTGTAAAACAATCATAATTGCCTTGGGTTTCTATGTAAAATGTAACTGTACATTGTCATTACCTGATTTGGATTAAGGCTCTAGAGGTGCGCACCACTTTGGGCTGACCTACGTGATTGCGTTTTCCCACCTATAGCGACTCTCGAAAGAATCACAGCACCAAACAGATCTCTTCCCTCTCTTCCTCATCCCCCTCGACTCTCACGCACGATTCAAAAACCCAAGTTTGAATCAAGAAGAACGTACTTCTCACCATGCTCGCGACGCACACTCGCGACCAATCGTGCTATACTCCAGTGCATTAGGCCCTGATCACGTCGTGGTCGCTCTAAAAGGGGGCGACACGCCTTGTAGGAAAGGGAAATGCCGTGCTGTGGGCGGTCGGTATCGTGCCTTGTCACGGCCGCGCTGCTCGACCATCGTTAGCCAATCCCTAATACTAGCGCCACGCTCAAGTGCCAGTCGTGCAGAGATACAAGCCGCCATGGACAGTTCGCGCTTTGGCAATGACCGTATTGCAGTCACAGCCTTCTTTGACCGTGTACTTAATGCGTTCACAAACTTCAAACTGGCTAGTTGCTTTATACTGTCTCCACTCTTAGACGGATCCATAATATATGGGCTCTTTGCCAGGCGTTGTCTACAAGTTTTGCAACGGATGCTTCCCCAACGCCCAAGTTTATGGCAGATATAAGTCACGGCGGACCCCTTGTCAAGAGCTTTCCGCTATGGCAAGGCCCTCGCGATCTATACCGTCCACCGGTCTACACGCACTGCTATTCCTCCACGACATTCTCTCTGACGCTCCCGCTTCACCTACCGCGTCTAACGCATCCAACACCGTCAGTGTGAGCGGTCCTCGTCGCGTGCCTGAAGTTGACAAAGACAAAACACCCTCGGCTGCGAACGAGGGGGCTCCTGAAGATGAACATCAACCGCCACCAGGAACACCTGCAGCTGACACGAGTGAGCATCCCGAGAGCCAGCGTGAAGGGAGCCATGCCTCGCCACCGACAATCATCTCCAGACAGAGCGATGCCATGCCCCTCAATTCGCTCACGTTGAAGCTGCTGCATTTCGTTCGGCGCGTGAATGGCGGTATGGGAATGTCGGAGGTTGACATCAATGGCCTGATTCAGCTCGTGGTAGAGCCCGGCCTTGCGCCTTGTGACCTTTGAGCTCCGGAACTGCAAGGATCTGGAGCGGTTCGAGATGGAGCGCTTGGCAAGGCTCAATCGCGGATGGTCGGTGGCGACCTTCGAGATTGACGGTCATCCGCCACAGCGCCTGCTCTTCCAGAACTCAGCTTAGGTAAGCAGACTCTGAATCCTTGGCAGCAAAATGCTGATGCGGCAACCATGTGGTGCTTGCCGTAAGTTATCTTCGTTATCCTTGTATTAACCCTAGCCCCACCTTCAACGCCACTAACCATGCCCCTCTTCTCTCCTGACTTCGCCACTGTACACCAGGCATTCGCTGAAATGTTTGGGCATCCCAACAACGCGCCCGGCTTCAAGCTCAAGGCGCGTATCGATGAGTACCCTGACATAGGCCACCGTCGCTATACCACGCCGGAAACAGGAACGTGGTGGAATGATGCTCAGATAAGGAAATACCCTGTTGCCACCCAAAACCTGATCCATGCTCATGCCTCCATTACTGCGCTGATGTGTCTGGAGCATCATGAGTGTGTCATGTTCGTTGCACATGCTATGAAGGTGGCTTAATCCGCCAAGCGACAAGTTACCATGGTGGTGTTTGACCGTGTGTCCGTTGCCGCCTTGTCGTGCATTGCAGGAACATTTCACATGGACCAAAGTCCTGGGGGGAATCATCCTATATTTGGATGTGACGCACATGAGCAACAACGGCCAGAAGAAGGTGTGGCCGCTCATGATGACGCTTGCCAACATCTCCCTAGCCAAGAGATGGGGGATAGCCGGGCACACGCTACTTGCACTCCTTCCTATCCCCCCTTCTGCAATGTCTGCCGTGGAGAAGGTGATGCTCTTCCAGCGATGCTTCATCACCGTGCTGCAACCGCTTCTTAATGGCATGGAAAGGTCTGTACTCGGTTTGCATCTTGCTATGTTGTCACCCAATCACCCGCATGGTATGCAAAGCGTCTCTGTATATAGCAGTCCCCTTTGCCCCTCTACGTACATGCACAAAGCCGTCCTCCGAATTCCTATTGCCACTCTACCTGTTCCTTGCAGCGGGTTCCGTCTCAGGGACCCTTTCGGTGATTGGCAAACCGTGCGGCCCCTACTGTACGCCTGGGTGTGCAACTACCCGAGAGCGGCAAGATCAGTTGCACACTCTCGCATGGATCGCGGATGCCGTGCAGCATCTGCTATGCTGCAAAGGTGAGGTTACATGCCATGTGCGCTCTTTCAATTACATTGTCGTTTAAATGTCGCCTGTTAGAACCCACAAACTCACCACCCAAACCTTTGTATCCCATCCCACACCCCCGTGCTACACAAGGAGCATCCGGTTGCTGTCAAGGCACAGAACACGCCGCACACGCATGAACAGCAGCAATGGATCGTTAACAAAGCGGTTGGGATGACAACTAACCAGG